AAAAAGAGGAAAATATTTTTCGTAGAAAATTTCGCATATCAAACAGTCAAAAAAGTGGAAGTAGGAAAATATTTTCCTACTTCCACGGAAAACTACACGAATCAAACAGACCCTTAGAATATAAATACGCCAAATAATTGAAAATCAGACTATATATAAGAGAAATATGAGTTTGTTAGTCTAACCTTGTTTGTCTTTTTCATGAGTGTATTTCACAACACTCAATTTTTATGTGGTCCTTGTCGGCACAATATCACATCTCACAAACGAGGACTCTCCATCATGGAATTCTAGTCCAATAACTAGTGAGAAAAGGTTCCGTGGATGGTCCTAAATATGTTTACGTGGTCCGTTAAGTCACTCAAATAACGACAAAGTAGTATTATTATTATTATTATTATTATTATCTTTTAAACCACCCACCGAGGACAGATATATTACTAATTGCCGGTAAAAAAAAACTAAAATATCTATTAGCACGAGTATCAAATAAAAATTATACAAAAATCCAAGGACCAAAAGTGAATTTGGCTTCAACCCTGAGTGTTTGGGTAAAATCGAATTTTCGTGATAAAAGAAATCTTAAAAGAGTAAGTTATTTAGGACCTGCGAAGTCAAAACACTAGCTTAGGTGGAAGAATATCACTAATACTCGATAGCATTATTCATCTTGAAAACCTAATACGAAATACAGATGTCATTTAGTAGTGGGCAGTCGGAAAGAATAAGAAACATAATAATTAATGAAATATGAGTCTATGACACAAATCATTTGAGAAGGAGAGTAATCCTCATTAGGATATATACTAAACATTTTACAATAGAGAAATATACAAAAATATGCCATGTGTCCAGTATTGAAAATGAATTCACAAAAAACATCTTGCAAAAATGACACATCCCTACAAACAAACCGACCCCTGTTGAATCTTCTACTTCAAAACATTTATCAATCATGCTACGCAAACTTCTCGAAAACAGGAGAGACACTGTCGACACATGATTGTATTTTATTTATTTATTTATTTATCTTGTTCAATCATAATTACCGAACATTTATTGGCCTTTCTCTGCCACTTCTGTACTTCTTATTTATTTATTTTTGCTAAAATATAAGTTCATTTGTAAATATTGAGAATTTACAATTACCGAAATTCACTTTTTTTTAAGGATAAGCCCCCAAAAATGCTGAGTAACATTTTACGTGACCTGAAATCACGTACGCTTATTTCGATTTTATTGCATAACAAATTTGTTATATTATATTTAGCCTTTGTTCGAGCTTCATCCTCCAAAAACTCGTTTATTCCCAAATTCATTTTAAATTACACATTCTTTTAATAAAATAATTTTGCACGTAAATTCAAAATCTTTTCTTATTTTCCAAAAAATACTATTACAAAACTCATTTAAAAAAAAAAAAAAAAGGGTATAAACGTAGCCTTCATTTTGATGTATTACCTTTGAAGTGTCAAAACCAAGAATGAGCAATTTCGTCGAAATAATAATTTTGGCGTTCAATCTTGTCATTGTATAGACAAAGCTTAACATGCCATGTGGCTTTCGGCACATACTATGCAATAGACCATTTCAGGACCACAATTCAACTAACACGTCCACAGTCTAATTAATAATGGATCTATCGAGTCAACCGTTTTTTTATAAGCTATCAAAATTTGTCCAAAGTCACTTTTGAGGACCAAAGGCGGTTTTTTTGTACGCTCGACACGTAACTTATCAATTTAATTACGACACATATTGAAACGAAGTCACCAAGAAATTCAAGTATGAATTCGCTTTATCCTCTTTGGCATATTCCAATCAAAACGTCGCCCCCAAAAGACTAGTGATTAAATAGAACATCAAATCAACGTTTTTTTAAATTTAATTGATAGGTTTTTTCAATTAAAGAAGACGCGTACACTATTGGATTGATAAATTAATTAATTAATCAACATATTTATTAAAAAATAAATTACTTAATGTTGCGTTTTCACGTGTAATAGATTTTGCAAGATATTCTTTCTTAATAATGATTTTTTTTTTAATGTTGCGTAAGACAATAATTCAGTAATAAATCTCTGATTGGCCCACAAAAAAGTATATGCTAAAATAATGAAATGAACCAAATTATATGAGAAATTGCATGTGCCATTCATTGTTGGGGCCAATAATTGGAATGGCACCTGGCACCACACATTATTCAATATTCTTGGCCACTCAAACGACAAGAGTGTGGTAGTCTCAACTGAGTTGACAGTCGCAGTGTGAGGGTTCAATTCTTACCTCTTACAAGGCATGTAATTGGACTCTTTGCATGCACCAGTATAGTAGCTTTGTACCATAGCCTACTGAGACACATCCTGTGATTTACTTTCTCCACAATGCTCTTGGAACGGGACTGCGGAGGGCCCTCAAGGTTGGAGTTCAATCTTTTTTAAAATCAAAATTTTAACAAATTTTAATAAAAGCTGATGAAAGATGTGGCAGAAAAGCTGTGAATCCTAATATATGGTTAAAATTAATCAACTTTTAACTTAGATCTCAATTAGACTTTTAACAGTACCAAACATGGGCGTAGTGTAATTATGACAAGACGAGGTCTTTTTGATTTTGCTAAAAATATATTTTTAATGAATTTTGTTAATATCTGATAAAATATGAGATTAAAAATTTAATAAAAGTTGAGAATTTCATGAATATATAGTTAAAAGTAATTATAAAATTTAAATTTAATTTTTATTTACTTTTTTAACTAAATCAAACGGACAGTGACCAACAATTTTACCCAAGGGTAAAAAGCATCTTACTTGTAACAAATAACTGCATCTGAGAACTCAAAAGAAATTAAAGATGGCTGCTTGACAAGGACAGGGTAAATTTAAGGCTGATGTCAAATTCCATTCGACATGTTTTTGTTTTTCGTTAAATGAACCATCGCAAGCTCTATATTTCAGGTGTACTCTCCATACCTTGAGTTATTGTATGTCGACTGTCAAGTTAGGTACGTTAGTTGGCTCCTCGCGGCCATCTCCATCGTCCTCTTCAGAGTAAGTTATTCCTCATAACCAACTTTCGTGTATTGCCTAGAATAAGTTTACACTCCTCTTGATGTTTACTTTCGCTAGAAACCAGTGATCCAAAATATTAATTCGAGTGATTATGGGGATTAAAACTCGTCTAGTTTAAGTAGCGCAAAATGAAGCTTATTGTCGCCAAGGGAGGATTTATGGCCTAAGGCCAACCAAACTCAATTTCTCTTTTTCCTGTGCTATTTTTTATATTTACATACAATTGAGCATAAAAGATTTTTAAGTCAAAGTCCTAAATCCATTCATGATTGCCGCGAATATCTCAAGTGAGGAAAAGAAAATCCGTTAGCTCGTGCGAATGTAGCATTCTTGAATAACCTTTTCCATTTAAAATTAAATTTAAACATGTACATATACAAGGTTCAATGAATTCAGAACCAAAAATAAATGTCATCTCATATAATTGTATTGTTTTGTATATCATTGGAAGAGTATCATTCAATATTTTCATCATTATTGTGTTGTTTATAGAAAAAGTTTTTAAACGTGCCCTTCACCCTCACCCACCAAATAATAAAATATTGTTCCACCAGTAACCAGAGGCGTCTTCCAGGAAAAAATGATGTATATAGAATTATTGTAGAGACACATGGTAACTATTAACATCAGACGTTCTGTTTCAAAAAGTTAACTTTATTCAGAGAAGTAACCTAATTTTTTATAAATTGATTGATATTTTCATCACTTCACGTACCCCCGTAAGATGATGGCTCGTTTGAGCAAATCAATATTGAAATTCACGTGCTCTTTTTTTTTTATCCTTAATCTGATCAAATCGCTCGTAAAAGTATACAAAAAATTTTTTAGCCATATATTCTCTTAAAAATAATATTAAAAACTCATTTTTTTTCCGATTAAGGAGAATAAACGGGTTTTTAACGAGCTTTGATACCACATTAAAATTTGAGGTTTCATCTTAAAAGTTCAAATCATTAATCTATATTTTTATCTTTATTCGATATGAGAAATGAACGTAACGTTTACGAATATTCTTAAAATTTCATGTTCACGGGCTTTAACTTTTTTCAATCAATACACCAAATGTGTGGACACGGACACGAAAGTGAAAAATACACAGGATTTATGTGGGTCAAGTCAATCGATTTAACCAAGCAGCACGTGAAGAGCAACAAGAGACTGTCGGTAAATACATATTTTACTCTTGTTCTGGTTCTATAAATATTAGGCACCAGCTCCTTCAAATTTCCAAACAAACACAAGTGAGCTAGACATTTGCAAGAGAGAAAGAGTGACTCCAACCAAACGAATAGAACTATATACTGTAAATATGGCAGTGGTTCAAAACAACGGTTATCAAATGCCAATAACTTGCCAAACCAGGGTCTCGGCTATGGCTCGAGAAACTACTGGCTTCCGTAAACCAATCAACAGCCACGACCCTAAGGAGTTGTCAAAAATGACAGTCACTCTAAATAGTGGTTTTGAAATGCCAATGATAGGGCTTGGCGTTTTTCGTATGGATGGCAAGGTCATGAAGGATTTTATCATCGAGGCTATCAAGAAAGGCTACCGTCACTTCGACTGCGCCGGTATCTTTTTGCATGTTCGATATGTTAGAGTAGATTTTAGAATTTATCGAGAAATAGTCAAAATTTTTTTTAATCATTTCTATTTTACTAAACATGTTTTCTAAAGCTACTCTCATGTATTCACTATTCTTTTCTATTTTACTTTAACTAAACACGTTTTCTAAAGTTAATCTCGTGTATACACTATTTTTAATTGTCATCATAGCGTACTCTCTTTTTATGAAATTGAGGATAAATAATATTAAAAACTTACCTTGTTTGATTTTAACTTAGATTAAATATCTGATTTTAATTCGAAACAAACGAATGCTCTATATTTTGACTCTTTATATTTTATTTTTTCTAATGAACATTTATTAATTTCTCCTNAATTCAGATGTGATTTGAATAATTTAAATTGTTAATTAAGAATAGAGAGTGAGTCGAACCCACTCTTTCTTTTAGAAAATGAAAGTAGAGACTCACTTGAAGCTTTTTTTTTTTTAAGTCTAAAATATAGAATATTTATTCTTGAAGATGCTGTCACATTCATATACTAATAAATTGGTAAAAAATTACAGCCAAGTATCAGAATGAAGCCGAATTAGGCGAGGCAATTGCAGAAGCAATCGAAAGGAAACTTGTCAAGAGAGAAGAACTTTTTATTACTACCAAGGTAAGTTTTTGCAAAGAAAAAGAGCATTTTTTGGTTGAAATTTTACTGATAATCGTCGTCCCCCGCAGCTGTGGAATTCGGACCACGATCATGTCCTTGAGGCCTGTCAAGACAGTTTGAAGAAGCTACGCTTAGATTATCTTGATCTGTTTCTCATTCACTTCCCCGTGCCCACAATACATACAGGTAGATCAGAGTCGGCTACATGAATTCCTTTTCATACGTGCGTTCAGTAAATATATCTGAACATTTTCTCTGCCATTTGACATACCTGCAGGAGTTGGCAATGCTTCCAGTGTTAAAGATAAAGATGGTGTTCTCGACATTAAAACTAACATATCGTTGGAAACAACTTGGCGTGGTATGGAAGATCTTGTTTCCAGGGGTCTGGTTCGCAGCATAGGAATTAGGTAAGCAAAAATATTCTCCGACTTATTGGTCTTATCGAGTACTGCAAATATAGTACCTGATATTGATTCTACGAAAAAAATATTTCTGGTGCAGCAATTACAGTTTGCTGCTAACCCGAGACTGCTTGGCTTATTCAAAAATAAAGCCTGCCGTGAATCAGATCGAGACACATCCTTATTTCCAAAGAGAATCTCTCGTCAAATTCTGTCAAAAACACGGTGTCTGTGTAACAGCACACACCCCTCTTGGCGGTTCTGTAGCCAACGTCGAAATGTTTGGTTCTGTGTCATGTTTGGATGATCCAATTCTCAAAGTAAGGCATTTCATTTCTTCCTATTTCTCTTTATATAATAATGATATTTTTAAGTACGGCTGATGAACAACATACACCTTTGTGCACCAGGTTTTGGCTGAAAAATATAAAAGGAGTGCGGCACAGATTGTTCTCCGCTGGAACATTCAGCGAAATGTTGTCATCATCCCCAAGACATCAAAAAAGGAGAGATTGGCGGAGAATTTACAGGTTTTCGACTTTGAGCTCGCTAAAGAGGACATGGAGCTGATTAAAACCATGGACCGAAACCACAGGACCAACATACCCGGAAAGTTTTGGGGCGTAGATATATATCAGTAAATGGCCTGGCTTTTTGAGGTCATACCTGGAAAGTTTTGGGGCGTAGATATATAAGTAAATCGCCTGGCTTTTTGAGGTCGATGAAATAATAATTTACGTCAGTACTGTGTGTGTGGTTAGTATCGTGTGTATCAGTGTATGATGGTTGGGGCTCGACATTCATGTTCTATCTTTGAACAATTGATTGAGACGATAAACACTAAAGTTTGGCTATATGTAAAAAATTTATGTTATGGTTACTCTCTGTGTTCGATACAATCGTGCCAGCTACAAACTTCTAATAACTTTATGCAGAACTCGTTAAAAACCTACATATTATACAATGGAGCGACATAACGAACACGGAACCTTGGTAGGATGAAAGTTCTCCTCTCCTTCTCTACGACTGCCTCTTGAGGTACAAATATCAAATATGAAAAGTAAAATTTGTCTCGAGATTGGTACAGTTTAACTAGCCAAAGAGAAACAAATGACCAGACACGCAATCTCTCGAGTCATGAACGACTACCTCAGCACAACCGCAGCATTTCGAAGAGCCAAGTGCCGTTGTACATAATCATTAGGGAGCGATCTTATCATCTTGAATGCCTCGGCATTCACATAATGGAGTTTGGTCCTTGGATCTAAGTATGGTGCCCGCATGGAATCGAAAAGTACATAAATTTAGTTGCTAGACAGAGAACTTCGCGAATCAGTATTTCAGCAATGGGATTCAGAAAGTATGCTATTCAAGCATAATGCTTTTGTTCATCAAAATCAGTGCCATATAAGATCAGAATATAGAAAATAACCATACAAGAACAAAGAGCTAATGCATACAAACTGAGAATAGCCAGCTCCAAAGGTTGACTCCAATTACATGATTTCTTCAATATTCAAGTCAAGGCTCCTTGAAAACAGGACCACTCAAGCAATGTAACCTAATATTTTAGATTTGGAGAAAGAAAGTCCATCCGTTCTTTAATTTGTCATCATTTGTATGTATATGAGTAACACCATCCAATTACCATCTTTTAACTTCTTTGCTCCCAATTGAAAATGAATCCACAACAATATCATATGATGCACTGACACGGAAACCACTCCCGACAAATAATAAAACTGGAAAAAAGAGTAAATAGCCGTGAACCCTTTAAAGAACATTTATTGGCCTTTCTCTGCCCCTTCCGTGCTTCATTTTTCTTTTTCTTTTTTTTTGCTAACATGTGTGTTCTTTAGCATAATAACATACAATAAAATTCACCAAAATGCGAGGTATATATTTGGATCTTCAGTTTCAAATTTTTAAACAGACCATCATTCCAGCTTGTATCATTTTTAACTCACTTGTGCTCTGTAGTTCAATTAGCCCCTTGACGACTTCTGTCTCTTAACTCACTTATCAAGTTTGACCTTTTCCAGTTCATCACTTGCAAACCGACCAGTCAACGGTTTAGTCAACGAGAAGGAAATATACGAAAAGAGCTAACCAAGGGAAAGACTACCTAAAGACTCTTCCACTTTTACGTTGTGGGTGCTTTCCTTTTTTTTTTTTTTGGGTGAGGTGTAGTGTCCGGTTCATTCAACCTATTCTTTGTTGATGATTTGCTTGGAATTCAAACAACAATTTACACAGCATTAATTGCAATAACTTAAACAACACAGAACATCAACAATCATCGGTGAATGGAAAGGAATTGGACGGAGTGATCTTTTATGATACCAACATAAAGTGTAATGATTCAATTGATAGGAATTGAA